TTATTTAATATACTATTATTTAATATATTTAATAATAATATTTATTTAATATTATTATATATTCAATATATTATTAATTTAAATATTATTACATGTTTTTAAAAATTAAACCCCAAATGCAGTTTCAATTTCTTTTAAAACTGAAATTAATCTCTGAATAAAACTACCATACGCATTTCAGAAATAATTTCAAAATGAAAATGAAAACGTTTTCATTTCTATTTTCGTACAGAAAATAAAAACATTTTGAAATCAATTCTAAACGCACCTTGAGATCTTAAGTAACACAAGGAATGTTGTAATTAACGCTGCAATAGTCAGAGGTTGCAAAATTGAAGAAATAACTTCCTTCCAAACTGTCTTTCGGTAGTTCCGCGCAACTGATAGTCCAAAGGCTCCTAAAATACAAGGAGGGATGGGACAAGATCTTGTTCTTCGTATTGCAAAGGTGCTTAGCCACAAATTCAGGATTATTCATAAGAGCGCTGATGTAAAAGTACCATGACTTGTAAACGCACTCGAATCGTTTCAAAGACTCAGGCGGCAACCACGACATGATTTCCTCCAACACCTCGTCTGGCAAATGAGAAAATCTCGCCATTTCTACTTCTAATAGGAACAAAAATGGTACACAACTTGTCTGTGCAAACAAACCAACATTTAGCTAAAATGGTATTCCAAAATTGAACAAATTTTGGTTCAAAACCCTTTAATCCATAAAGGATTCAAACAAAAGACATAAAAACTACTTCTTAGAAAAGAAAAAACTAGAACTTCAAAAGCCCCTTCTACTGAGTTGTTCTAGCTGCGATTTTAACATTCAAAATCAAAATCAAAATCAGAACCATATGCAAAACTAAGAATATATAACCAATATATGCAACTTTTGGAAACAAACGCGTCAATGGGCAGATAACGATGGAGAGGAAAAAGGTAAAAATGAAAATAGGGTTTTTAAAATTTGATCAGAGAACAAATACAATCTTCTAGCAATTTGAATGTACCCAAAAAAAAAAAACACGATAGTAAATTGAGAATAAAAAATGGTTTCAGAAATTACCTGTATTTAGTCCAATATTTCCTTGAAAATGAAGACATGAGACTCCATTCCGTGTCTTGAGACGCCACAAATCCAGAGCTTGAGGAAACAAACTACAGCAGGTTTTTTTTTTTTTTTTTTTCCTCATAGACAGGCAAGGGTCCTGTGCGTCAGGGTCTACCTGGTCTTCACATAGCCTTTCAATTTTGACGGCGAAGTGTCTTCTGATTTTTAAATCTTGACTAGAGTTTTTGGATATGTTCATTTTAACATTTAAGATTTATTTATTTATTTATTTTTTAGCGTGGTTCTATTTAAAAAAGCTTTTTAAAAGTTATTTTTAGCTTTCTGATCCTGACCCTACTTCTAAAGTATTTATGAGATATTTAGTTTATTGATTAGAATCATGAGATTATAATTATTTTTAATTTATATATATTTTTTGTGAGAGAAAATACTGTAGCAAACCACGAACTATAATTCAAATCAGGGTACGAATCCTCCAACCAAACAACTCCTTAGATAATTTTTCATAAATACTTTAATTTTTCAAAAGAGCTTTTAGTCAATTCATGAAATTTCGTTTCTTAAAAAGGTATTTTTGAATATATTTTAAAACTTTACCAAAATTTTATTAAGACATTGTAAATTTCATTCTAACATTTTTATTACTATTTAGAGAATTTAAAAATTATTTTGATCCATTCAGTTCTTTTATTCCAAATACTTACAGAAAAATCATAACTTTTACTTTTCTTCTTTTATTTACTAAAAGCAAAAGCAAAAGCTCTGTCAAACGGGTCCATTTTGCACATTTGTCTCGAAACTTATAGAGTTTTAGGGGTTTTTCTTTTACATTTTTGAGTTAGAGTGACTTGAGTGATGATCTTGAGTTGAGTTTAAGTTATAATTTGAGTTGAAGTTGTAACTTGAGTTTGTGTTTGGATGTGCACATTTGAGTTATGATTTAAATTGAGAATCTATTTGAGTTTGTGTTTGGGTGAGTCAAAACTTAAATTTGTATTTAAATATTATTTTAATAAAAACTCAATGGTGATGAAAAATTTTAATAGGGTATATGGGTGAGGTTTTATTCGTCTTTTCGTTGTGAATAATGCATAGAAAAAAATCATTTCAATTAGAATTAAAACGAAAAAATTATAGCATTTTTAAGAATAGAAAAAATAATGTTCATTAACTTGAGTTTAAGTTTATTAACTCGAATTGAAGGAAAAATTTGAACTCGAGTTTAGCCCTAAACTTGAGTTCAAACTCAAATTTTACAAAAGAACACGAACTTGAATAAAGTTGTAACTCGAGTTTAAATTTTTTCTATTTCATTGCAAAAGAACAACCCCTTAGTAACTTATCTCTTGAAATTCTATTGTTTAAACTTTGTCTCCCAACTTAAAAAAATATTATAATATGTTTTATTTTGATGATAATTGTGTTAAAAAATTCGAATACAAAATATAGAAAATATGCAAAGTTTATCCGTTTATAGCACTGTACTCTTCATTTTCAAATTCCAACCTAGTGTCATCCCCTTAATATAATAAACAAAACATTTATGAATAATCATCTCATTTAAAATATATAACTCATTTTTTTAATTGGATGAGTCCGGTTATATCAGGTTGAGGAAAATTGTACCTGAACGCACTAAATTAAAAATTTGGTCGAGTAGATAAGAACAACCTTAGTTTTGAGTTAAACACGGATCTAAGTTTAGATTGAATGGGTTTTGTCGGGTCGATGGGTTAATTAACATTGCTAGGCATAACTGCTAATAAACTGCCCAAACTTTAACTCTATCATCATTCATCAGTTAAAGGTAACTGCTTCTAGTTTATTAATTTAATGACTAAATTGCAAAGAAAAAAAAAATTAAATATAAAAATAACAAACTAGAAAAAGTTGAACGGCATACTAAAACGCCTTGCTTATTTTCCATTTCCCTTGCTTTCATTTTGAAAGAAGGTCTTTAATGCCCTAGAGATGGCCATCTCCCAATAGCAACCAAAACGTAATTACATACCAAGTCCCCAACAGTATGTACAAAAGAGTCATATATGGGCCAAAATATTATGCCCTTTGGCACTTTATTTCCCCTTTCAACTAACAAAATTATAGTCTCAAGGTCACCATAAACTTCTCCTTTCCAACATCATGGGTGAATATTCTTTTCACCATTTTCAAGGTCCTCACCAAAGTCCCAAACTGAGTTCAATTCTTGAGATCTCAAAGATAGTGTCTTCATTAGCTTCGTTGGCATGGTGTATAGTTGGTTCACAATTGGTTGCGGAAGGCTACGTCCCTTGTGGAGGCTCTTATTTTTCAAATTATCCTCATCATCATCATCATCACCGCGATTTGCTTGCATTTCCACTGCTCTTTTAACCAAAGTAACGTCTGAGCCTTCTTCTTTGGTGGATTTCTTGGACTTGTTCTTGTAAATTGCATATATTATTAACTGAGAAGAGCCCAAAACAAAGCCTATTGCATTTGGTATCTGCACTTGCACGACATAAACTTACTGTGATGTGTGAGACAAAAGCCCCCCCACCCCCTTTTTTATTTTTTATAATATGCAATGTAATGTTACCTTACTCACTTGTTTAAAGTCTGTTTGAAATGTATACTCAAACTATGATTCTTCATTCTAATATTTAAATTTTAAATTTTTTTTTATAAACAAAAAATACTGTAATAAATTTAACTATTTAAATTAACATAAATGTAGAGGAGGAAAACTTACACCAACAAAGAAATCTTTGACCAGCGCAGCATATATGGACCAAATCCCGCCATTTAGGAAAAGGAAAAATGAAAATAAAAATGGCATGTACTCCACGCTCTTCATCTTAATCACCATTCCCTGCCGCAAATAGAACCAACAAACCAATCCCACTTGTGAACAAATAAACGTAACAACGCTCTTCATTTTTGTGGGCCTTCTTCCAACTTTTGAATATGCAATCCCAATATATAATAGAAATTTTGTTTGGAAAGGTAAAAAGAATACTCTATCGGTACTATTTTGTTCAATTAAACTTTTACATTTTTATTAATTTTTATAAAATTTGCATACTTTTCTTTTTTTTTTTAATTTTAATATGATTCTAATGTGATTTGATAATAAAAACGTTACAAATACTTTACATCCCGACAATGTTAGTTGGGAGGTGCGATAAAACTATGAATTACAGGATGAGAAGTTTAGGAGTACTCTAAAAAAATACGATATTAGCATAGAGTGGAAGTGTACTATGTTTTTTTATTTATTTAAAATATGGTGTAATATGTAACTTTTAGGTGCTTAAAGTTGGTGAACTTACCATGGCTGATAAAGGTGACGCATACATTCCTATGGTTAAAGCAGCACATAAAATTCCAACAAAAGTAAGCTTTATTTCTTCACGGACGGCAAGCAGAGTCAATGCAATTATTGAACCAGGAAAACCAACATTAAGCATCGCAATCAACTTCGCTGTCTGTACCTGCAACAATATTTTGTCGGCAAGCCATGCTAAATTTTCCATATTTCCATTCCCAAAATTGATAAAATGACAAAAAAATAAAAATAAAAATAAATAATAGTTACAAAAATGTAAAAAACAACTACAAAAACGTTTATGTTTTAAAAATAAATTTTAAGTCCATACCTAACACATTTTCTGAGGCAACAAAAAGTACCCTTAAAACAAATTAAAAACATTTTAAACATTTAAAAAGTATCAGAATCATCAATCAAGCTATGATTTTTTTAAGGTTAAAAATCCGCTGCCTATGATAGAAAACATAAAATTTTCTTCGTCTCTTTACTTTGTTTTTTAGTCCAAACACACAAAAAAAATGAAATTGGAACATATTCTTTAAATTTGAAGGACACTTTTTTAATTTTTAAAACATATGGATAAATTGAAAAAAAGTTGAAACTTGGAGGTATATTTATGTAATTAACTCTACCAAATGAGTGTGAAAAATTTCCCTACCGATTAGGCTTTGTTTTGAGCTATAAATCTAATATACCATTTTATTTTGATGCCTTTTATTTAATGTTCACAAACATACTGTAAAAAGCTCCAAAAATAAACTCTGAGTTATGCTTTTACGTTTAGTCTAAGACTTCGTTCATTTCGTGGATTTGAGTTTTTAATTCGAGCTGAGATGTGACTTTATACTTTAGAAATCTAAAATTGAAAACTCAAATCGGTGAAATGAATGAAGCCTGAGTCGAAACAAATGAGATTCTTAGCTAGTTTTAACCACCTGATTAAAATGTTCGGGCAAAAGTGAAATTCACCAAACATGGAAAACATTTATAACTAGCATGTAGATTAGAGATTGTGAATTTACCTTCTTGTCCCTAGGTGCATAGATGAGAAAAAAAGTGACGTAGATGAGTTGCAAGAAGGCACCAGCGCCATTGACGGTCAAGATTAGTAAGCCTTGAGGATTAAGAAGTCCATAGAATGTCCACAAACTTGTGCTCAAAAGTGTAGTTATGTAAGGAATCCCTTGGTAGTTCTCTGTTGATTTCTTCTTCACCACAACCCAAAAAGTTTTTCTACAAACAAAAGAGATTTATTTTATATGGAAATTGTATAGTGAAAGAAAAAAATATTTGAGATTTGACACTAGAATCCATAGAGTTGGAAAACGCCGTAGTTGGAGATCAAGGATAAAATTAATTTTCTTTTCCTTTCTTCTTTATACAAGGAAAATATTAATAAAAGTGAGTAAACACACTTTTAAATTGTAACTGAATCTTTAGACGCTCTTATTTTGTAACCCCTCAAAAAGAATACAAAACTTAAATTGTGTTACTTTCTTTAAGTGTAGGCACATAAATTATAACCCCTCAAAAAGAACACAAAACTTTAATTGGGTTGCTTTTCTTGAAGTGTAAGCAGCACATTAATGGTGCTGGTTAACCATCAAGAACACAATTTTATCCATATCAAAAGGATTAAAAAATGGTTGTGAAAGCCTTGCAAAAAACAAAAAACAAAAAAAAAAAGCAAAAAACAAAATCATAACTACTCAATTCATTTTTTTTTTTTTTCATTAGTTCCATGTTTATCACAAAGAAAAAAATTTAGAAGGAAAAAAAGTAAAAATAGATGGTTTACTTACATGGGAGAAGTAAAAACCAGTATAGAAATTATATTGCCTGCAAATGAAGTATAAATTTTATCTTAAAAGGAAGAAAAAGAAAAAACAATTGACAACCCAAGAATCTAAAATTGAAGGGGGGGAAAAAACCCAAAAAATTAAGAGTAGTGAAAGTAGAAACTGACCAATAATGCCGATGATCAAGCTCAAACTAGCAGCCATTGTATAGGAAGAGAGAGTAGAAAAGAAATTAACTATTGTGTGATTATATCCAAATAAATGAAGAAGGTGGTGATGTATATGTGTATATATAGATGGTGATTGGGATGTTCACGTGATAAGCACATCAATGACGTGTGTTATGTGTGTGTGGTTGATATATTGGAATTACAAAATCTGCTCTAACTTATGGATCCTCTCTATGGATTTTATTCTACCTATGACACGTTTTTCACTGTAAATTGCTGTTGGACTTGTGTTGATAGTGGCTTTTGGCCCACCTTTTCTTTTGTTCGCCCATTCTAATTTTCTTTTTCATAGGCTTTGTGATATTTTCCATCGGTAGTCATTTCTAGTCTGTTTCTTATTTGAAGGGAATGCCGCGGATTATATTGTTAGGCAGTGTTTGATAGGGAGGGAAAGAAATACGAAGGAGAAAAATGTTACACAATTTTGGTGAGAAACGTGAAGATAATATATATATACCCATATATTTGTTGTGTTTGATATGGATTCCCTTATATAATCTCTGCATATTATAAGAGAATTATAACGGGATACATTAAGGGATTTGAAATCTCTCCTCTAATCTAGTCCTTCCTCATTTCTCTACTAACCAAACAATTAAAAGAATGAAAAAATTACTGAATTTACCCTTAAAAGGGTATATGGTCTGGATTTTTATCTTTTACTTTTGATTAATATATTTTTATTAACATAATTATTTGACTAAAAGAGGTATTAATCAATAATAAGGGATATAAATCCAGACTCATGCACATTTAAAAGGTATTTATCTCATTTTTTCAACAATTATAGATCACAAAGTCCTTCCATTCATCTCCTTATCTTTTTTCTTTCTCCTATTTTTTCGTCCTACCAAATAAGCTCTTATAAGGTCCATACTAAGGGATAGCAACATGATGGATTTAGGGCGAGGGGTCTTCTCACCAACCCACTCCGCGAATAAAAACACTAACCATACACGTCTCATGAACCCGCATAAATTAACAAATTACGGGACAGATTTCTCCCATCACGGATTCAGAGTATTCACGGTGCCTCATTTACTCGATTAATTATTTTCATTGTAAAATAAATAAATAATAAATAATTAAACAATCCAAACACACAACACATTAAGTTAAAGATAAAAGATGGGTAGTTTTTAAGTTTTCATATATATTATATATATTATGTAATAGATATAATTATATATATTAACTTAGAGATATGTATTAAAGTTTTCATATATTATATATATTATTGCATATTATACATAATATATCTACTTTAAAATTAAGATATAATTAAATGAGGGTAAATGGGAAATGTAGTGAGGACTTCTAAATCTGTCTCCATCCCGCAACTCATGACGGGTTAAAATTTTAATCCGTTTATAATTCATATTCATTTAAAACGAATTTTTCTCGTCCCATTTTATACGAGTCCCCGTGAATAAATGAATTAATGGATAAAATTGTCATTCTTCACTCTATACGAAAAGGGTTAGTTAGATATCAATTCATGTTTATTCATATGGCCTAGTATTAGAATTTATGACGCTAGATTAGTTGGGAATTTCGTAGTACAACTTTGATAAAAGTTACCTTATTTACAATAAATAGATGAATATATAAAATCCCTAAACAAATGATCCATCATAGTCTTAATTTTAGGATGTTTAAGTCGCACTGTTTTTAGTAGTGAATATTATCTTGTAAGTTTGGTCGGTGTTAGTGGATGGCCAAGTTACAACTTTGTTCACCTGAAGTTCTACGAGTCGTTGACTGTTTGCTTTCTTTGAAACAAAGAAAGTATTAAGGTCCGTTCACTTTGCCGATTCGAGTTTAGAATTCGAGTTTTACTACAGTAAAAAGCTCTCAGAAACAGTCATATCTAACTTTTTTGCTACAGTAAAAAGCTCTCACATAACATCACATCTTAACTCAAATTAAAAACTCGAATCAGCGAACTAAACGGTGATATTTACACCATATCTGTAAAATAATTGTACATATGGGATTTTTTTTTCTTGGATAAAAGGGATAGCTTTGTCTACTTAAGTATTAATCAGACAAAAGCTTTCCCTTTTAATTTATCCAAAAAGAAATTCAAGCAAAAAAAAAATTATCCAAAAATAAAAAAAAAATCTTTCCCATATTAGCTCTGTCTACTTAATTATTCATCTTCAAGAAAAAAAAGTATTTATCCTTTTTATGATGAATTGACGGGTGGCAATTGTGTGGGACCAACCTTGAATATTATCGCTACTCTTTTTTTTTTTTTTTTTATGTTTTATTTCCAATGAGTTTGGTTTCCAGAATGAACAAAATTAGTTAGGTAAGAAATATGAAAGTAAATTATGCAATAATTCTCTTTCAGTTTAGCAAGAGGGAGGAGAAAGAAAAAGTATTCCAACCTTTTTTTTGTTTTGTTTTGGGCCGAGAAAGAAAATCATTGAACAGAAACGACATGAAACAAATAAGAAAGCAAACTGAACCTAATCACATTGACACAAAACGGAAACAGCCAAAATGAAACCAAAAGTTGATGGAACTAACCGTTTTTGTGGTTGCAATTGACTTTGTTCGGTAAAAAAAAATACAAAATGGCCAATGTGAACTAAACACGCTTCACATTGATCTTATCCTCTTTTTTAATTTCATTGCATCCAGTATCCTGTGCATATGCAACACAAAATCAAAATCAAACTTGTGTTTATGGAAACATCCACCACCTCAACCAACTCGGAATGCTTGTCAACTATTACATATTAAATTTCACGATATGCAACTGAATGATAATATTATTTGCAAATTTAGGTGAAGACAGTTGAGGGAGAAAACAAGATATATTGAAATTGGATATGCTATTTAAAACTTACCTAAAGATAAGTTCATTCCTAACAAATATAGGCTTGATGACCGTTGATACGTGGAGAATGGATTGTGAATAGTTATACCATTCTCAAATGAATTAAGAATAGAAATGTAAAAACGGGTAGACACAGACCAGGCACGATACAGCTAGTCTATCCTATTTATTAAATGAGTTGAGCTTAATGATTTCTTGGTACGAAGCGCGTTAAATACATAGAATGTTAAGGCCTGCACACGAGCATGAGTACAACCACATTAAAAGCAAGATAGGCGGTCCAATTACAAGCACTAGCGGAGCTATCTTAGGCCGACTGGAGGGAGCCGCCCCCACTTGCTCAAAGTGGCCCGTTTAGCATTGCCCCAGGTAAATTTTTTATTTTATTCTTTTTTCCTTTTAAATTTTTCCGTTTATGATATTTATACAAAATGTTCAAAAACATTGCTATTTATACCTCAAAGTTAAATTTTGAGTACCTTATATTTTAAACTTAAATTGCTCAATCAATCGATAATCAATGACACAATAATATAATTTTACAATTGTGTATTGTACCTTGAAAAGTGAATTAAACATAATTAGAAGATTGATTTATTTGGATTAAAAAATATAAATATAGTAAATAAATAATAATTGTCTTATTAGTTTAGTATAAAATTTTGGTTGTACTGCCTCCCCCACTAAAAAAAGTTACCGACTTTGCCACTAATTACAAGCACAATTCGAGCATGAATTATAAAACTAAATTTGAGCTTACTCTTTATTTATAAGACTCATAATTACACTTTTTATTTTTACTAAGATTTTATCTCGATGGGTTTGTTTGTAATGTTTTTAAGGAGGTAGTTTTTATTAATTATGTACCTTTTTTGGGTTAAACATTTAGTGTTTTCATTTTTTCTGATGTTTATTTTCTTATTTTTATAATAAATTTACTAGTTAGCATGGAAAAAGCACACTAAAAGCCTGAACATGGTCCAAACACGTTAAGAGTATGACCCATAAACAATTGGTATGAGCTAGGCTTGACACATTTAAATGAACTGGCTGACCGAATCTGACCCATTTGACATCTCTAGTTAAGAATAAGTGAAAACATATCATTCTTATCATTTAAAAATTCATACCTAACTTAGTAGAATGCGTGTTAATACGAAACATAAAAAAAATTTGTGCTCACATGTTTTTGACTTAAGAGTGTGTTCGGTTAGAGGAAAAGGAGGTATAAAAGGGTTATAGAGAGAGGAGACCAATCTATATATTAATTAGAGGGAGAAGAGGAGGGGGGGAGAAGTGGAGAGGAAAATTTTCTCTTTAGACCCATCAAATTCAATATGACTATTAGTGAAAGATTCAAGAAATCTATCGCGTTAAAATTTAAAGACTATTTTAGCCTCCAAAATATTATTAACAATTAGTAAAGCAAATAACTATCATACATATGTTACATTTTCCCCATTCCACTAACCAACATTCCACTAACCAACATATAAGATTATTATAATTCTCCTTATCTTTCACATTGTCTACCCTTCTAACCTTATGCATATTTCCTACTCTTCATCCACAAAAATCCACAAAAAGATCCCAAGGGCCCGAAAAAAAAAAACTTGAGGTGTTTTGACTTTTATTATTCAAGGAACAAAGTCGTCAAAAGAGGAGTTAGCAGAAGTACCAACAGAGCGAGTTTTTTCAAAGTTTGAGGACTCCAAAATCAAGATTTTAAATTTGAAGTCCTTAAGTGCAAGAGCTTAAAATTTTGGGGATGTGGAGAATAAATATCTAAGAAGTTAAAATGAAGGCCCATAATCTCAAAGCCCATAAACTTCCTAGCGTAGCCCAATAAAAGTAAGTCCCAACAAGTGGCTTAACGCCGACGCGGGCTGCAGTGCGCGTGCGCGGTTGAAGTTGCCGGTGGCTTAAGATCGATCCATTCCTAAAAGGCTAAAACCTCCAGACGACAAATATCTACAAGTTTTCTTCGTTCTTCATTAAAGATCTTCACTTGGTCTCTCCTTCAATACCCACAATGTTCAAAAAGTAAGTTTCTTTTATTTTCTTTTTCTTTTTCCTCTCTACAAGTACAAATATGAGTGTTGCTTCCGAATATGCACGTGTATGCAATTATTTTTTTGTTTTATTTTTTTGATGGAATTTCTTTGTTTTATTGGTGATTGCAGAAAACGATTTCTGGGTTTTGATTTAATTTTGATTTTGGGATGTGGGTTTAATTTTTTGCTTTTACAATTTCTGCTCTGCATTTGTTAGCTGTTAATATTAGGTTGTTTTGTTTGTCGAATTTTATTTATTAATTTAGGATGCTTCGTCATGCTTTGATTGTGATTTTATACAATTTTTTTGAAAGTATGCAATACTAACTAAAATGTTGCCATTATTAAATTTGTGGCTTCAATGTTTATTTTAGAGACTGGGGTAACAAGTAAAATTTCCAAACATTCCTGAAAGTTCCATTAGCCATTTTTAACAGCATTAGTTTTAAGTTTGAGATATGAGAAGAGTCATTGTTTTTTTCACTTTAAAGTTAAAGAATGCTTTTGTTGGTGTAAAGACTTAAAAGGCGCTTTTAAAATATTGTACAAAAAGTCTCATTTGAGTTTAGTTGTGCAATAGTATTGCATTGAGGAAATTGTCCTTTGGATGGTTGAGGTATGCTTTACTTGTCTTCTTTTCTTTCATGTTGTAGGTTTTCCGCGGAAGATGTTTCCGCACAAAACCAGGTCAAGGCATCTGTACAACGCAAAATTCGGCAAAGTATTGCTGAGGAGGTAAGGAGTTACCATGGCTTTTTACTCAAGATTGAGCAACTATTTCCTCATTTTCTTGAAATGCGTGTTTAACACTACATTAACTTCAATTTCAGTACCCTGGACTTGAGCCAGTGTTGGATGATTTGCTTCCGAAAAAGTCTCCCCTGATTGTTACTAAATGGTCTGTCACTCCGTTGCTTCTGCTCGTGCTATAAACTTGTAGCTTGATCCAAAATTTTAAATTATGAGTTTATAACTATGTTACCTATTTTACCAAGGAGTCTTTTTTCTTATTATTGCAGTCAAAACCATCTAAATCTGGTTGTGGTTAACAATGTGCCACTGTTCTTTAACATTCGTGATGGACCTTATATGCCTACCCTAAGACTACTTCATCAATGTGAGTGTTCTATCTTTCTAGGCCAACAATATCCATTTCGCCTCTATTATTAGAGTTCTCTTTGTTACCTAAATTGTCGATTTTGTAGTTTTCTTTTATTTTTCTTTAACTGGATGCTTCTTTTTTGGGATGAATCTAATCCATTTCCGATACTTTGAGGATTTTAATGGTGGAAGTTACATGTAATTCTTCTAATTTCTATAGATATATGAGTCAAATCTTAACAAATTGGTACATAGAGAACAATATGTAGTTTTCTGAATGATACTTCAAAAAATCACTTTATTCTTTCTTCATATATTTAGCATTGAATAGATATATGAGTCAAATCTTAACAAATTGGTACATAGAGAACAATATTTATTTTTCTGAATGATACTTCCAAAAACCACTTTATGAAAGTGCCGTTCTGAGTGGCTTCATAATCATAATCTGATTTTGGCTAGTCTTTGGGTACTTTCTATTGAGTTTTACGTGAGGCAAGTAATGGCAGTTCTAACTGACATTGACAAGATGGCAGAAGCCAAAAGGATAGCTTTGACAATGAGGGGCATCAACCCTTATCAAAGAGTTTGATCACAACTTTATCAACCATTGTCGAACAGTTTGATCACAACTTTATCCCAAGTTGAAAACGCACATGGGAAAATTTTGTTTGCCTCAAATTGGTCTGTGAAATTTTACTAAATTACATCATTCTATAGAGAGAACTATTACTATTGGAGTTCTTAAGGTATAAACAATATAGATTCCTTTGATCTTTTAAATAATTTGAGTTAGAGGCTGATTTTATTGTTAAGTCTGGTATTTTAGTTGGTTGTTGGATGTATTTGTAGCTTAAGAAAATTACTCTCTTAGCTATTCTACTACTTAATCTCCTATAAATCATACTTCTATGGAGATTTATAGGAGGCTTTGAAAGTAAACAGGGGCAGAGTCAGGTTTTCCAACTTTTTGGTGCATTGCATTTACTTCTGCTTCTCAAGGATTTGGAGAAAATCATGTCTTTTGAGAGGTTTATTGACCTACTATTTTGAGAACATTTCGAGATATGCAAATTTCGAGGTCATTTTGTAACCAGAGTGGAGAGTTTGTCTTGGAGATATAACTAATTACTCGGGGAGATTGATTTGTTATGATGATATTGTTGCTTTTTTTTTTTTATTTGTTCTTTATATAAATTCATCTCGATATTTAAACTTCATAATAGTCAGGTGTTCCTACCATTTGTTTTGCAGATCCAAATATAATGAAGAAGTTACAAGTTGATAGGGGTGCAATAAAATTTGTCCTTGCTGGCGCAAACATAATGTGTCCTGGCCTTACGTCTCCTGGCGGTGTTTTGGATGATGAAGTTGGTGCAGAAACTCCTGTGGTATGAATTTTACATACGGCTCACTAGTTTAAGAAGATCATGTTCAATTTTTTCTGATTTCTGGAATGTATACTCTCAGGCCATAATGGCTGAAGGAAAGCAGCATGCTCTTGCAATTGGCTTTACTAAAATGTCAGCAAAAGATATGTAAGTCATATTTCTTACTTGAATTTCCAACAAACTTGTGTGTGATAAAAGCATAATTGATCAATCCGTGACTGATTGAAGAACTGTACGTACATAAAATTTTATCTGCATATTTTTGAATTTCGAACAAAAAATTTACAGTATTACCACATGCTACTGCAGAAACTTCATACGTGCCACAGATTTACATTATAAATGTCAGTTTCTCAATCAATCAGCGTCCGAAAACTTTGAAGAACTGCACGTACAAATAGTTTATCTGAATATTCTTCATTTTAGAGAAAAATTCTACATCATTACCACATTCTTCTATGAAAACTTCATACGTGCAACAAATTTCTTGTGAAATATTATTGGTGTCATTACAATCATTACAGTGTCGTTACAACCGTATCATTACATTATTATGGTTGTTAATTTCTACTATGGCTTTAAGTGGTATGGGTTGAAACTCTCATGTTTGTAATAAAGTTGAAGCCCGCTTCAGCTGCATTCAGTTTTCTTTCCATGCTTGCTATTATCAATCTGGTTCCTGATTGGATTGACTTTGGTGAATGGTCTATATATTCAGAGGCAACCCCATAGTGGATGTTTTATTACTGTGCTTTTTCTACGATTCTATCCATATTTTAAAGGAGTTCTTTGTATTACGGTTGCTTGTCATAAGGTTTTCCCATTGCAGATTGGCATGTCTAACATGTTGCGCCGTTTTCTTCTTCTTATTTCATATGCAGAAGGGTAATCAACAAGGGAATTGGGGTGGACAATATGCATTATCTTAATGATGGTCTCTGGAAGGTATGTGATGCTTAAACCTCTGTGGATTACAAAAATCAGATACATTGTTTAGCAATTAGAATTCTGGACTTCCAAATGTTCATGACCGACTTATTACGCCAATTACTGCTTCTTTTTTTTTTTTTTTTCTCCTTCTCCTTCCACACATAACAAATATTTGCTCAAGACATCCTGTTACACTAGTTAAAGTATCAATTCTTCTATGTATCGAGCAGATGGAGCGCTTAGATTGAGGACTTTGAAAGGCTAATTGTGTGACATCTTCCACATTATTAAAGGAAAACAACTTGTCATGAAGCTATATTTGGCAGCGGAATCCCTGTGTTTTGGGCAATTGCAAGATCATGAAAGCTAAAGGACCTATTTGTCCTCTATGTACTGAAGGGGAATAGTTTTATCATACATGCACACATCAATCCTTTGATGAGTTTCCCTTATGAGTTGATAAATTTGATTTTGGTATAATGGCTTGCATTTCATAAGTATTACCGCGTTTTCTTGAAAAAAAATGTACTTGTGAATCTGAACCTCCTCAAACATCAGTTTCGCTTCTCTTGGCCTCGTGGATTTTCACTCTTGCTCAAATAGAGTATTGGGCAAACAGAATGGTGGCAATTGATGGATTCTTGGAGCATGACATACACATGTACAACTCCATGTCCTGATTTTTTTTTTTTTTGAATCTTGGGGACGTGGGAATTTGAACGTTTTACCCCCTTTAATTGGATTGGGGATGAAGTGGAATCATGTGTGAAAGTACCGTTAAGTTATACTAAAACGTTTGGTAAGGGGATTCATACAATGATTTAAATTATGGTTCATGATTCGCTATTGTATTTTCTCTCATAAAAAATACTCGTAAATCGAAAATGATTATAATCTTATGATTTTAATCCATAAACCAAACGTTTTCACGTTTTAACTAGGTGATGTTAGGTATTGCGAGGATAATGTTTAATTTGAGTTTCTCCCCCTCTCTTTTTTTCCTTTTGCCAAAAAAAAAAATACCTAAATAGATTCTCAGTCCAAAAAATAAGTTCATCATCTATTTTAAAAGCGTACTTTACAAGATTATATGCACGCAATAGTGTTTGCGAAAGTTCTAACATAAGAAAATGTTGTATACCTTGAACAAAAAAATGACAAAAGTACAGCGTCTCCCTACGGTATACTAGATATCTAATTCACGTCTGGTGAAAACATTAGTATTACTATTTTGAGCAATTGAAAGAGCATCCGTGTCTATTGTATATGATTGTCAATGATCGAAAACACTAGGAGGTTTCTAACACAATTTGTGATTATAAGAAATATGTTCAATATTCTTGAAGATACGACGTTAAATACAATGTATCGATAAAATCACGAAGATTAAAAAGAATTAAGATATTGAACAACAATTACACCTTGGCTTCTAGTTGATCTCCTTATTTGAAGAATTGAAGCCACCTCTATCAATGTAATTACCCTCATTTATTTATTTTCTTTTTTAAGGAATCTTTTTTTCCCCAAAACAGATTTGCGCTATCCCATCTTATATTTTATTTCTTTTTAGAGATGGCAATGGAATGAATTCTCGTTTCCATTCCCGCCACTCAAAATGATTCCTAACCCTATTTATGGAGAGGCGGCCAGGGTAGGAGATTTCCCGTTGGGATAGCATTCTTTATACCCACACCATGCTCTATTTAATATAACTATGCATTTTCAAAATTATAACAATTTAAAACAAAAATTAAATATAAATTTAAACCAAAATCAAATTAGGTTCTATAAAACAAACTAAATTCTAATCACATACAAAACCAACTTAGTAATACTTAAGCCACAAAAGGACTAATTATGTTTAAAAATTTGTCATTTATAATACTTATTTACATAAAAAAATGACATATGTATATGGGGTAGAGTCGGGTAATGCTTCCCCGTCCCTACACTGCGACAACTCGGGAACAAAATTTTCCCAAATGTGTGTCTCCCATCCCCACTCCGTTCGAGGTAGATCCCAATCCTTGTGGGATTACGCCTATCTGCAATTCCTCTATCCTCCACAAATTAAAGAAGTAATTACATAAAATGTCAACTACGTAGGGCATTATCTAAAAATGTTTTCTATTATACAATATTACAAAAATGTCAACTTGTGTTTAATAAGGCATATATTATACCAGATTTGCCCTCGTAATTTATTTTGGGCATGTTCTCTATATGGGGTTTTTTTAGGAATAAAATTATTTTGGTACCTTGTATTATAGCAAAACATCTTAATAAGGCATGCTCTTGGTATATTGTGCTTTTAATAATATTAAAACGTTACCTCGACGTTTTTTAAAAACATCTTCTTAGTACCCTAAAACTGATTTTTGGGATATGTAATGTCCAAATTACCATTCTTATTAATTAAATAAAAATTAATATTTTTTTAAAAAAAATATGAAAACATTTTAAAATAGTAAAATATTTAAAAGAAAACAACAAAATAAAAAAGTGCATTTCTTTTTTTAGATTTATTAGTTTTTGGTTAATTAAATAGAATAATAGTAAAGTCATTTTACGTCTCAGGAATCAACTTCAAGGTATTAAGAAGATATTTTTGAAAACGTTGATGTATCGATATAATATTATAAAAAACACAAGGTATCAAGAACATGTTTCGCAATAACATGATACCAAAATGATTTTCTTTTTTTTTTTTTATTTGGTGGGATTATTTTTCCAAATAATATTAAGGTATTTTTTCTGATTATATGTAGAATTTTACTTTCCATTTCGGTGTCATTATATATATTTTATCAATACATTGATTTATTCTTGATGTGATTTTTAAAATTAAGAGTTTCCCTCTTTCTTTCCTTTAAAAAAAAAAAAACTTCGTATACATTTATATGTTTTTTTTTTTTTTTTTTTTTTTTTTTTTAAAAAAAACTTAGTGTATTTTAATACCTTAATTTATTCACTATCGTTTTGTGATCAATATGGTTTTGTAAACTGTTTTATTCATTTTGGTTCATTATGATATTATCATTACAACAGTGAAACTGAGTATTTTATTTTATGAGTTCATGTGTTGGGCATTTGTGTTGTTTGATATTCCTTCAAACTATTAAGGTAGCTCTGATAAAATAATGAAAATCTTATGATTGAGTTCATTTTTGTATTTCTTTTATAGTTCGAGTTATTTTTGAATTTAGGGTTTATTTCGGGGTTTTAGGGTTTATTTACGGTTTTTAGGGTTTTTACGGTTTTTGAGCCTTTTTTAGGGTTTTTAAGATTTTTTAGGGTTTATGTAGGGTTTATTTCGGGTTTTTTAAGGTGTTTTAGGGTTTCTATAGGGGTTATTTAGGGTTTTTCTAGGGTTTTTCTAGGGTTTTTTAGGGTTTTTTTTAGCCTTTTTAGGTTTTTTTTTGGAGTTTTTAGGGTTTTTTTTTTAAGTTTATTTAGGGTTTATTTCGGGCTTTTAAAGGGTTTTTAGGGTTGTTTTAGGGTTTAGTTAGGGTTTTAAGGTTTTTTTTAGCCTTTTTAGGGTTTTTAGGGTTTATTTCGGGTTTTAAGGGTTTTTAGGGTTTCTTTAGGGTGTATTTAGGGGTTTTTTTTTTTGTTTTTGTAGGGGTTTTTTAGCCTTTTTCAAGGTTGTTTAGGTCTATTTAGGGTTTTTTCGTGTTAATTAGAGTTTTTAGGGGTTTTTAGGGTTTTTTTAGGGTTCATTTAGGGTTTTTTTTATGGTTTTTAGGATTTTTTAGGGTTTATTTAGAGTTTTTAGCGTTTATTTAGGGGTTTTTAGCATTTTTTAGGGTTTCTTTAATGTGTTTTTTAGGGTTCTTAGTATTTTTTTTAAGGTTTATTTAGTGGTTTTTAGGATTTTTTAGGGTTTCTAGTGTTTTTAGGGTTTTTAAGGGTTAAAGGTCTTTTAGGAGTTTTAAGGTTTTTTTCGGGTTTCGTAGGGTCTTTTTTTGGAGTTTTCTGGTTTTTTTTAGGGTTTTTAGGCTTTTTTAGGGTTTATTTTTCGCCTATTTATGTTTTTTTTTTTCTCGGGTTTTTAAAGTTTTTAGGATTTGTTTATCGCTTATTTATGTTTTTTTTGGGGGTTTTAAGGTTTTTTAGGGTTTTTGGGGGATTTAGGATTTTTATGGTTTTTTAGTGTTTTTATGACTTTTTAGGGATTTTATGGTTTTTAAGATTTTTTTTTTAGGGTTTCTATAGGGTTTTTTTAGGGGTTTTTTTTTTTTGTTTTTTTTAATGGTTTTTATGGTTTTTTTTTTGGGGGGGGGGGGGGGGGGGGGGTTTTGTAGGGTTTATTTATCGCTTATTTATGTTTTTTTTGGGTTTTTTGAGGGTTTTTTTTAAAGGTTTTTAGCGTTTTTAGGGTTTTTTTTTTTGGGTTTTTAGGACTTTTTAGGGTTTTTATGGGTTTTAGGATTTTTTAGGGTTGATATAGGGTTTTTTCGTGTTTTTTTTTGTTTTTTTATGGTTTTTTGGGGGGTTTTTTTTTTAAGTTTTTAAGGGTTTTTTAGGGTTCTTTAAGAGTTTTATAGTGTTTTTAGGGTTTATTTAAGGTTTTTTAGGGTTTACTCACGGTTTTTTAGAGTTTTTCGTGTTTTAAGGGTTTTTGGGGGTTTTTATGGTTCTTTTGTCATTTTTAGGGTTTTTAGGGTTTTTAAGGGGTTTTAGGGTTTTTTAGAATTTTTAGGGGTTTTTAGGGTTTTAAAGGTTTTTTTTTTTTTGGGGTTTTTAAGGGGCTTTTAGGGTTTTTAGGCTTTTTTAAGCATTTGTTTAGGGTTTTTTTTTTACAATTTTTTAGGGTTTTTAGGATTTTTAGTGTTTTTAGGGGTGTTTAGGCTTTTTAGGGCTTTTTAGTGTTTTTAAGTGTTTTTAGGACTTTTTTAGTGTTTTTAGGGTTTTTAGTATTTTTTATGGTTTTTAGGGTTTTCTAGGATTTTTTGGGTTTTTCTAGGATTTTTCTAGGGTTTTTTTTTTATTTTTTTTGGGGGGTTTTAGGGTTTATTTAGGATTTTTTTTGTGGTTTTTAGGGGTTTTGAGGGTTTTTTTAGGATTTTAGGGTGTTTAGGGTTTTTATTGTTTATTTAGGGTTTTTAGGGTTTATTTAAGGTTTCCTTAGCATTTTTTAGCCTTTTTAGGGTTTTTAGGGGTTTTAGTGTTTTTAAGGTTTATTTAGGGTTTTTAGGGGTTTTTAGAGTTTTTAGTGTTTTTTAGGGTTTCTTTAGGATTTTTAGGGTTTCTTAACGTTTTTAGGTTTTTAGGGTTTTTTTTCGGGGTTTCGTAGGATTTTTTAAGGTTTTTAGGGTTTTTAGCTTTTTGAGGGGTTTAAAGGGTTTTTATGATTTTTAGGGTTTATTTAGAGTTTTAGGGGGTTTTAGAGTTTTTAGGGGTTTTAGTGTTTTTTTAGGGTTTTAAGGTTTTTTTAGGGTTTATTTAAGATTTATTTAGGGTTTTTAAAGGTTTTT